CATATACATACATACATACATTCATCCATCCACACATGTGTCAGACACATACACACACACATATATATATATATATACAACTACATACGTATTCAATATACACACCTTCCGATCACTGGATATGAATCTACGCTGACTAACCACAGAGCCATATTGATAGTTAGCCCGCAATCTCGAAACGGAGTGCCGATTGAAACTGGTTAACCTCGTCAGCGAAGTCGTCCTTCTCCAGCAACGAAGCATAATGCGTTTAGTCCACTTTCGCAGTTTCACTGCTTGTGCAAATTGTTGAATCAATGTGGAAAATATATTTTAGAATAGAATACCTCGCGCGTTTTAATACCATAGGTATGTATTGACGCACGAAGAGGACCTATGATATTTATTAATTAATACATACATACGTTTGTAGAATATGTAGCTGCTTTTTTTTTAATCGAGCACATCTTACTACGATGAGTATGTTCACTACGTTCTCGGTTCTACTGATGGTATTCTTCTTGCTAGTTAAATCTATTTTTGGGCCTGCATTGAATTGGACGACGGTCATCAAAATAATCATTACTCATCCAACTGCCATAGAGGCGAGCGGATGCGAATGACCGAATATGTCAATAAACCGCCCAAAAGCACACGAAAGTCGAGAGCAAACAAAACAGTATATGAAGCACGCACACGCAAACATAGGAGTGCGCATGTGTGTTGCTATCACATACGAAGCAGCTTGTAGCCTTGTATAAGGAGACATAAATATAGTGTTCATATCTTGAGGAGATGCGATAATTTAGTAGCAGAGTTGGTGCGGTTTATGTTGAACAGGATGTCGTCGCCTAATTTGGTCTCGGGCAACGCCATTGCCTATGTCGCAGGCATGACCTGCATATTTCTTGGTATGTTCGTAATCCTTAACGATATGCATCGGTACTTTATGCCCATATGTAGTTACTACATACCCAGATGAATAGATTGCTACCGTGCTATGCTCGGTGTTGCAACTATTTGAGTATGCCAATATTCTTTGAACATGAACCACGTTGTGTTTGTAACGTCACACATGACGCGGGAAGCGCACTATATAGTCGTTATGATTTGACTGGTATATTTCGCCCTTCACCATAATTTATATTGTATTGAAATCTGTGCTGAGATCCATACGTATCGTGCTTGAAAATCCATAGCTCATTTACACAGCCTTTACGGGATATGTTATTAGAAACATGCCTTGTATTCTCTTTTTCGAATCTGGATGTTACGAACAGCAATTAATAGAATTCGACAAAAAATTACTAGTATGTTCCCATCAGGCTGTATTATGTACCTAATACTGTGTATATTGTGTTTATTATGTGCATATATCAACACACGTGGTGACGTATTTTCTGGGTATGTATAATTGTCAGCAAAATACTTTATTGGCATCACACTTCACATAGAATCCTAAGTTTGATTACACATAGATCATCAAAATGTATATAAATATATATATTGACAACGAATAACGAATCAAGCAAAAGACATAGCTGTCCATACATTTCATAAATCCGTATATTAACGTACACTGTGTGTGTATGTGGTCAACCCTGATGTCAAAAGTTAATCACGCACACACTCACTCACTCACTCACTCACTCACTATACACGCACATATATGATCTATAACATATTCATCCATATACCATAAACTAATCGTATCATCATACATGTCTACTCGTATAATCATACACACGAGAATATAGATTTATACAACTGCAGATTATGGTTTACAACGACACACGCGTGGGCTATACAGGGATATGTGTGTATGCATTCGGCCTATGAGTATGAGTATATCAATAGCAACACAGATTTTATCTTTCACGGTACATACTTACAAGCCATCAACAAATTAAATATTTTCAGACATGTTTTATTTATATCACTCCTAAAAGATAGTGAGGTGTGCATATACTACGCAAAATTCTGAGCACAGGCATGTGGAGAGGCATCAATCAATGTGTATATGTATATAATATATCTGAATATCTGTATTTATACACGAAGTGCATACGGCTATGCTTTTACCCGTAGATGCGTCCTTCCCTGTGAATATATAGTTTAATATTGTAATTCGTACGATCTGAGCGTGACGATCGTTTTGAATGCATATATTCTCGCACGAGTTGTCTTTGATGAATGTCTTCTGATTTTAGTACGTATGCGTGCAGTTCACATGGTAACATAAGAAAAGAAAGCCATGTTTGTGAGTATCGATAAATATTAGCCGGATATAGATACAAACATATTGGAATATACATGCATAAACATCAGAACACATTTACATCGGTGTGCACATACTATATGCTAGGACGTGTCTAGGCATGTGCCCGAATATTAAGTCACTGTAGTCTGGAATGCCCTGTGACTATCTGGATACAGTGATAACGAACAGATTATTCTCGCATACCGGCAAGGGTAAGGATTTTACAAGAAGTGTTCCTGAAATACCGTTGCTTTACTTTTTGTATTCTCTCCCTTATCTGTTCTGTCCAACATATTCCTCATTTGTATTCATTGAAACCTCGAAACTAGTTTTTGTCTATTGGATTTACAGTGAAAATTATATATTGCTTATTTGGCTTATCAACGACTTTACTATCTGTAATTTGCCCTGTAATCTTCTTTCGCATTACACATTCTCGTCCTCCACGACTCCCATGTATCTACTCTTTGGTAGATTGCACTATTTCTAATCTTTCCATTGTACTTTTATATACAGGATCGTATGCATTAGAGAAAGTGCGAGAACAATTGAACAGATCCTTGGACTCTAATCCCGAAAACTTCCAGGATGGTAACGTGTCTGTATCGGCATTGTTTTAAGTAACATCTCATGTGTCAATTCAGAGTGAAATTTCGATTTCGGTTTGGTTAATTTGAACGATTCTACATGCATTTGATAGTGTACTTGTATTGATTAGGCTAAGACTTGTCTCACTGTAAACGCCAAGATTGCCACACATCGCTTTATATGTACGGTAGTATAGCTCACTTACTTTCATATATATGTCCATCAAACACGAAATTAAAAGAATGTTTAGCACCTATTAATTGACCTACGCTGACACATTCAGGAATCACTCTGGATGCTCTGGGACAGCTTACTCGCAGTGAAAATGTAGCATTGCAGAGGAGTGCGGCACAGATGCTGATGGACCGCGCCATGCATGGTATGCTGCCATGTTGTATTGTTATGATTTAAAGTAGGAATTAGCGACCATCGCATGTGCGCCACGTTGTTGGATTAGCGTACTTACTCATAGGTGTCTGTCATGTCTTAGGTGGTGTTGTAATCTTTCGCTGGCTTTCCAGCGTCTTTCTCTGGGTCCGCTGTTCGTTGCGGTGGTGGCGTGGTTTGGTGGTATAATATTTGACGTTGTGCTTTATGCTGATCAAACCATCTGAGTCTTGCTGGATTATGTTGTGTAGTGCTATAGTTCGCTCTCTATCAAGTTTTTGTGCCTATACAAGCATCATAACACTTATCACAGGAATACTGAAAGTCACATTTCAAACACCTGTCTCGATCATACCTGACAAAAAACTTGGTAGCGCGTATAATACTAAGGCGTTATCGAGCTTCCCCCCAAACCAACCTTCCCTGAAAGTCTTGTTTTGCTGTACTTATCTTTAGATGAGAATCTTCAGGACATAGTACTGTCTTGTCAGAATACCTCAGACCGCCTCGATCGCCTGAAGGCTTGTACCACTCTAGGGCTCCTTTCGAAGAATGGTATGTCAATCATCAAACCACCTTACCCGATACATAATCATAGTTTGTGAGTCCAAACCGTAAACGCGAGCCGCATCATCTGTCTTGGCGCGTGCAAGTAAACGACTCTTATCTGACTCAGTTCTCCTAAGACAACTGGTAATACCCTGAGCTCCCAACAAATTTCGGTCAAGGTGTGGGAATTTACTATCAAGGGACCAGTCTTTTATAGTTATCAAAATACTTCTTATCAGGCGGTCTCGTTCGGGTCAGGAACACACTCGACCACTTGACGGTCGCCCAGTTCTAGAACTAGTAGACTGCTCTGCGCATACACCGTTGGAGTGTAATCTACACATGCTTGAACTGCCCTTACGCTAATAGATAGCCTAAGCATATGCTCACGAAGCGTGTCCTACACATCCTTATACTGCGCCCTGATACGTTATTGATCGGTTTTGTTGATCTTCTAGCGCCAGTGACTTCACTTCTACTTGAGAGATAGGTTTACTAAGTCAAATGTAAGTCACCAAATGCATCCTTGGCGAGAATACAACAAACAGTCAACAGTAAATCTCTTCTATCATACCTATATCCTTTGTTTTCCCAGAGGACGAGATATATATTCTGTTTGACTATACATTTTTATCAATCGCTAGTTGTATTTCTGGTCTGAACACCAGGTGGAGTCCACTTGGCAATCACTGACAATGCCCAAACCGATACTGAATCATGCACACCTGCACCTGATATTAGCACCGGGGTTAAAAGTTATATGCAGCTTTATCTTGCGTTTGTTCCCAAGAATTCTTTCAGGTGAAATTTTACTTTTGCGAATTAGCGCACCACTTGGTAAGAAAATTCGTTGACTCAAAGATCTGACATCTTCACTCAAGGCTCCATCCAATACATTTACGATCATAACTGAAAAAATGTTAGTTTGTGGATATTCATTCGATGAATTACGTTGCTATTCACAGATGAAAACCGGCCCAAGATTCTGCGGTGTGGAGGACTGGAGGCACTTGCCGGGTGTCTGATTGATGCCGACAGTGATTTGACACTCAAGCGTGTCACTATCATCGGGGTGTTCGATCTCATCTACAACAGTGACGAGAACAAGGATTGCCTCGTCGAGTTCGGCATGTTGCCGGCGCTGCTAGAGATTCTTGAGGTTTGTGTGTATAACCATATGCAGGAAAATGTAAACACATGAGCTATAGTAATGACGGATGGGCATTTTGTTTGTGATCATCGATAGTCTTCTTCGTATCGCTTGCTAATGTTGGCGTGTCGCGCGTATGCGAGCCTTACTGCAAGCCTAAACTAAACAATGCGGATGTATATTTACACTTGTGCACATACTGCGTTATATATATATATATGTTTATTGTTTATTTATACACA